CAAGCTGTTTATCTTTGCAGTGATGTAATTATAGAAATTGCTCTCCCTGCCACCCACTTCCTGACCGAGAGCTGAAGGACTCAAACTCCAGAGTGGGCACACATTTGGAGGGATTTGTTTTGCCTGACTACAAGGATTTCGTTTTCCATTTTCTTTTTTGTCAGTAAGGGCATGGGAGGGAGAGGCAAGAAAATTTTATGAATCTAAAAATAAAAATTCAACCTTAAAATCTACACAAAAGAGAGTGGAAGAGAGTTCAGAAAGATGCAAGCAGGACGACTGTGTTAAATTCACCATATGCTTAAATAAAACACCAAGCTGGATGTACTGGTTGGTGATTCCCCTTTTCACAGACACTGCTTTTTTTCTATCTTTCTTTGCACAAGGGAATGTTTGTGTTTGTGGATGTTTGTCAACGTCCTGATAATAACAATAAAAAAACTGTTTTATTATTATCGGTATTATTATGAGGCAGCTAGGTGGCACAGAGGATAGAGCTCTGGGCTTACGGGCAGCTTACCACTAGCATCTGTGGACTGTGCCTGTGGACAAGGAAATCTCTTAACCTCTTGGTGTTCCAAGCAATTCTCTAAGACTTTAAGTTGTACAGAGTCCTGTATTGGAAGAGAGAGTTTCCTCATCTGGGAGGTCCCTATGCCAATGAAATCACAGGTGTTCAATCACTCTCCCCATCTTTTTTATTATCAGGTATTTGCCAAACAACAACAATGTATGCCAACCACCAAAGAAGGGAGGGCTTTGTAGAGGTCCCCAAGTAAATCAGTCATGTGCTCCAGGACTCTGTCTCTAGTCAATAAGGAAGAAAGGGAGAGAGGGAGACTGGAGAGTCACTTTTGACCTTTCCAGAGGTGGAAGGGATGAGACTGTCAAGGGAGTCCAATTTTTGCCTGAAGAGTAGTGTGAATGCACATCGCCAGAGGTATTGGATTGATACTAGTACAAACTACCCAGTTGAAGAGCAGGATAGAAAGGAGAGTCAGAGAATGTCAGAGGTGGACTGGCCCCCAGTCTAACTACCCCATTTTACAGATGGCAACAGCGAGGGGAAGTGATTTATCCAAAGTCCCATAGTCAGCCAGTGCAGGAACTGGAGTAAGCCTCCCGACTGCTAGGTCATGGATCTTTCTTTGGCTTTAAAAAAAAAAAAAGTTTTTATTGATGCCTTTTGTTTTTCCATGACTGGCATTTTGGGAAATCTCTCCCCCTCCTCATCTCTCCCCCTGAGAATTAAGACCTCCCTTTTAACAAACAAACAAACCAAAAAAAAAACAAAAACCCAACCCCAAAACCCAGTCAAGCGAGAACAAAGTGAGCTCATCTGACCATGAGCGCCAAATTGTGCTGGCTAAGGCTGGGAGGAAGAAGGCGTATTTCATTGTCTGGTCTCCTATACCATTACTGGTGTTTCAATCACTCAGAGTTCGGCTTGCTCACAGTGAGGTTTTTCCCTGAAATTGTGGTGGGCTGCGTTTGCTTCTGCTCATTTCATCCAGATCTGCTCAAGGCCCTTTCCACACTAGGCACACATAGGCCCAGAGGCCGTTAAGTCTAAATTCAGGGTGCTCCAGGAGAAATAGAGTCACAGCATCAATGCAGGTAAAGACATCATTGTATGTAGGGCCTTCTGTTCTCCAAATCATCAGCTTTCCAACAAAGAGAACCCTCCTTGCAGCAGTAGTCCGAAGGGACCCTGAGGGAAAGTGAGAAGCTAAGCAGGCCCCATAAGAAGTGGTGAAATTGGAGGGAAAGCCCTTCGAAGCCTGAGACAGGAGACAGCAAGTCTCAGAGGCTGGGAAATGTGGATGAAAAGGAGAAGGCATGAGTGGTAGAGCTGCTCTGGAAGTTCTAGATCCTGCCCTAACACTGACTGACTATGTGACCTTAGATCACTTTCTTGCTCTATGCCTCACGCTCCCCATCCACTGAAGGGATTGAAAATGTCAAAGATAGGTCCATGATTTAGACATAAAGGGTGATATCATAAGCAAGTCAGGGGAGCACGAAATGGTTTGCCTGTCAGGTTTATGGAAAAGGAAAGAATTTATGATGAAACAAGAGCTAGAGAACATTGTGGGATGTAAAATGGATAGTTTTGATTACATTAAATCAAAAAGGCTTTGCACAAACAAAATGTAGCCAAGATTAGAAGGAAAGCAGGAAACCAAGGGGAAAAAATTGCAGCAAGTTTCTCTGATAAAAGTCTCATTTCTCAGAGATACATAGGGAACTGAATCAAATTTATAAGAATATGAGTCATTCCCCAATCGATATATGGTCAAAAGATAATGAACAGGCAGTTTTTAGAAGAAGAAATCAAAGCTATCTATAGTCACAAGGAAAAAAATGTTCTAAATCATTATTGATTACAGCAACGCAAATTAAAACAACTCTGAAATACTACCTCATACCTATCAGATTGGCTAACATGACAGAAAAGGAAAGTGACAATGTTGGGGACAGTGTGGAAAAATTGGGACACTAATGCACTGTTGGTGGAACTGAGAACTGATTCAACCATTCTCAAAAGCAATTTGGAATTATGCCCAAAGGGCTGTAAAACTGTGCATAGCCTTTGACCCAGAAATACCACTACAATACT